ATAAGAAAGCTGCTATCAAAAACCATCCTGATAAGGGTGGAGATCCCGAAAAGGTTTCTCTTTTCGATCCCTTTTTTCCCTTATTGCGTAGATTCTGTGTAAATTCAATTGGTTTCTGTTTCGAAATCTAGTTTTTTTTTTGGTAGTTGATTTGAATTCTCCGATCGATGGAGGCTTAGATCTTCGTACTAGTATTCTGGATGTTCGATTCGATCTGAAATCTGCGAGTTTTAGGTCAACTATCTGAAATCCCGAAAATTTGTTGGCTTTATAGATTCCTTTGTACATACTAATAGATTTCACTTGATGGTTTGTTCTTGTCTTGTGATACTTAAATTTGATCTATGTTAGATTGTTTGTTAGTTGTTGTTGGGATTATAAATATTCAGATAGCCAAATTTCTTCTTTTGGAACTTTGAGACAGTAGAATTTATTGCTTATATGGTTTATCTGTGGAACCTGTAGACTTGATCAATATATTTAACAGTATGTTACATGTCTCTCTGCAGTTTAAAGAGCTAGCTCAGGCTTATGAAGTTCTTAGTGATCCTGAGAAGCGTGAGATCTATGATCAATATGGGGAAGATGCACTCAAGGAGGGAATGGGTGGTGGAGGCGGTGGGCATGACCCATTTGATATCTTCTCTTCCTTCTTTGGTGGTGGTGGAAACCCATTCGGAGGTTAGTTTTTGGAACAGTGCCCATGAATTTTATCATATTACAATCGATGTTGTCTTTGAGGAGATGATAAAGGGAAGAACCCTGGTTTGTTTTTTTTCTGAGTAGGTGGTAGCAGCCGGGGAAGAAGGCAGAGGCGCGGTGAAGATGTTGTTCATCCCCTGAAGGTTTCCTTAGAGGATGTTTATCTCGGAACAACAAAGAAGCTCTCACTTTCTAGGAAGGTTTTGTGCTCAAAGTGTAACGGGTTAGTACTTATTACTTTATCCTTTCACAGTTGTGGTATTGCTTTGTGTTGTTACCAAGTTTTTGCTGTTTCTGACCATGTGTATATTGACTAATAACCATGCATTTTTTTTTCTTTCTGATATATGCTTTTGCTCTTGTCTTTCAAATCTTCATTCTCTATTAGCTATCCCCATCTGAATATCCAATATGCTTAAAGGAGTTCTTGACTGACATTATTTGCTTTATGATTACAGCAAGGGTTCAAAGTCTGGAGCTTCAATGAAATGTGGTGGCTGTCAAGGTTCGGGAATGAAGGTCTCGATCAGGCAGGTTGGACCTGGAATGATTCAGCAGATGCAGCATGCTTGTAATGATTGCAAGGGCACAGGAGAGACAATCAATGATCGGGACAGGTGTCCACAATGCAAAGCAGAGAAGGTTGTTTCCGAGAAGAAGGTGCTTGAAGTAAATGTGGAGAAGGGAATGCAACACAATCAGAAGATCACGTTCAATGGACAAGCAGATGAAGCGGTATGTGATACTCTATTTTTCCTGGCTTTGATCATTATATATTTCGTCTATTGACATTTTCCTACCTTTTTCATTTGGAAATAGCCTGATACTGTTACCGGAGATATAGTGTTCGTCATTCAGCAGAAGGAGCACCCAAAGTTCAAAAGAAAGGGGGATGATCTCTTTGTGGAGCACACCCTCTCTCTAACCGAGGCCTTGTGTGGCTTCCAGTTTGTTTTAACCCATTTGGACAAAAGGCAGCTTCTCATCAAATCCAGTCCCGGAGAGGTCGTCAAACCTGGTACGTATTTTCCTTGGCCCAGTCATAAACCCTTTCTGTATTATTTATGCCAACTTTTCTATGTCTTACCGTGGTGTCTATTTTGTTGCTGATAGATTCATACAAGGCGATAAGTGATGAGGGAATGCCAATATACCAAAGGCCGTTCATGAAGGGTAAGCTATACATCCACTTCACTGTTGAGTTCCCGGAATCGCTGAGCCCAGATCAGACAAAGGCCATTGAAGCAGTTTTGCCAAAACCGACCAAGGCAGCTATAAGTGATATGGAAATAGACGAGTGCGAAGAGACGACTCTGCATGATGTGAACATTGAGGATGAGATGAAAAGGAAGGCGCAAGCCCAAAGAGAGGCTTATGATGACGATGAGGATGAACACCCAGGCGGTGCTCAGCGTGTGCAATGTGCCCAGCAGTGATCCACATGCGAATCCTAGTGATCTCCAACATTTGCTTCTTCTTTTCTCTTTTTCGTTGTATTATTTTTGGGTCTTTTTATAGACTTTGCCAATTCAGTGGGAAGAACCTCGTCCTAATTCAAAATCCTTATTACCATTTTTTTTGGTTTGAGAAATAAACTTGTAGTTCTTGAGATTTTGTCCTGATCCATTTGATGTCCCAAAATTCTACCAAACTTATAAGTAGGGGATTCCGTTTAGGCTTTTTCAAAATATAGGATACTTGGTTCTGACAATACCAAAATTTACTAGCAACAATTTAGATTGCAGCTTAGAGAATTAGAGATTCTCGTGGATTGACACTCACCAGTACTTGATAAAAGAATTGTTTTTTCAAATAAGGTAAGAATATCAAAAGTTATATCAAGCAAGACAAGTACAATGCTACACTCTATTAGCTGTTTATTACATTACATCTAGAATGGTGTGAAAATAGGCAGAAGACTTAATACGGATGATGAACCACATGCCATCTCAATTTCAACCATCAAACCCAATTCAATTCACAAACAAAAACTAGTATTTATGTTGCAACATCGATCTTCTTCTGTAGATACCGGTATACATGTGTAATTGAGAATGAAGGAGGCTCATACCTCGTTTTTATGCAGAGTCGAGCAACGGCTAAGACTTTCTGGAGTTCTCTAGAGCTATAGTTGTTACCTAAATCTGGATCAATCATCTTATCAATGGAGTTTGCAATACACGAGTCTTGTACCCATTCGATCAAGTCTTTCCCTTGTCTGTCTGATGACTGTCCTGTGATCAGCTCCAACATCAACACTCCTAGTTGGAATATCACGTTTCCACATTCCTCATCCGCACATGATCCTACATACCAAATTTTCAAACCGTGAATAAAGCAGAATACCATTGATCTTGGAAACAAGAAAATTTCAGTTTTACCTTCAGAACAAGAATCATGGGTTGCTTTGGGATGGTTTTTTGGATGTCTGTTGACGCGGATATCTGAAATCTGTGAGAGGAAGATATCAGTTATTGAAATTTGGTTTGTTTGCACTGAACTTTGTATCTTCGAACTTACTTTAGGGGTGAAGTTTTCATCCAACATGATGTTACATGAGTTCACTGAAACATCATATATCTGTGCATCATTACTGCTGAAGATTAGCAAGTATTCCTGCAGTCAAAGAGCGGATCATAATCTTCTTCTGAGTCCCTTTAATAGTATAATCGGTTTATTGAATAAGCAAGCATACTCAAATTACTGTCCATGATGTGTAAAAGCAACTTACTAATGCAGCTGCGACTCCAATGGCTATCTGAATGCGAGTCTTCCAGTTCAAAGGAGTCTTAAGCGGATCTATCAAGAAAGAGACAAAAGTTCAATAAAAGGATTTTGTTTTGATGATTATGTGTTGAGGGTTTTTACCATTGAGGTGTTCTTTCAAGCTTCCATTTTCAATGTTGTCAAACACTAGAAGCCTGAAAAGCAAGAAGAAGAAATCATAAGCAAACAAACAAAAACATGTTTCTTTTCTTTAAAGTTTCAAGACTTATAAGGAAACCTCTTTCTTCCAATGCAAAACCCGCGAAGTGTAAGGAGATGACGGTGACGTAAGCGACCCAATAGCTGCACTTCCTCATCAAACCTTTCTCGTCCAAGATCAAGGGCATTAAGTTCTTTGACCAAAGCTACCTCACCACCTTTGAATTTAGCTCTGTATGCAGAGCCGTGATAGTTGCTGTAAATAACCTTACGAAAGCCTTGAGTTGCTTTGATTATTTCCTTGTATCCAAATCGTCTGATAAATTCTATTCTTCCTGTGATGATATCACAATTGAAGCTTGTATAAATTAAATTACTCCAGAATTTGGATACAAGGAGAAGATTTAAGTCAAATTCTTCTACTCAAAATCGACCAAACTAACCAAGTAAAGCTTAACAATAGAGTTCATCAACCATAAGTTCTTTAGAGTCATATAGAACTCAAACCAAGTCACTCAGATGATTCATAAAACTAAGAAACAGCCAATTGTATGGAAGAAATTGAAATCTCCAGGAGATTAGAACAGAGTATAAGCAAATCATAGTTTTTACTTCCAAAAACCAGTAGAACCCTAGAAGATATGAAACTATGTGACATCTATGAACTAAAACATCGAAAAGAGATTGATCTGAGATTAAAAAAAGAGTAGAAAGAACTAAGAAAGTCAAAATCCAGTCGAGAATAGTGGGAATCAAATCTGAAAACAGAATAAGGTAATTATTATTCGGGAGATTCCGACGAAATGGTGGATTACCGGAGCGAGAACGACGGAGCCAAGCAAGAAGAAGAAAGCGGATTCTGCGGCTGAAGCGAAGGCGATCATCCATGGCTGGCGATTCACTTTCCTTTCTTCACTGCTGGCTGCTTCACGAGGAGCTTGTATATCTTTTTGTCTTCTCTAATCTCTTTTTAATCTCTCTCTCTCTCTCTCTCTCGAGATGATTGCGGAAAATGGGATCTGATGCTTTCTTGGAAGTTTTGAGGAGTGTGTCTGTCAGTTGTACGAAAGCTTTCTTTGCCTGAGCTGTAAAATCAATCTCACGTCTTTTTTCTTCGTTTTTCTATTTATTTAATCACAACGGTTTTTTAATACTAAGAGCATGTACATGGTTGATACTCATAGAGTATCATTAACAATTTTTTAGTATTAATTTTAATATTTTTTTATTGTTTGAGATTTTTTATGATACCGATACTAAATATGTTTCTATTAGTGAAACTGGTTTAAGTATCATAAAAAAAAAAGTTTGCAAAATCGAAAATAAATATATAAAAACATAAGATTACAAAAGGTAATATTACAATCTAAAAAAACAAACCTAGAAGCATAAATATTACCCTCTAGCTTAAGGAGTAGTCCAAAGCAAATAATCTATGGTAAACAAAAAGTCCTAAAGGATAAGTAAGAAGAGAGGAGAGTTCCATCACAACACCAAAATTGCTTGAAGAAAATCAAACAGCTCACATACCAAACCAAAGCTTCTCTAACTAGAGAGAAACCAAATATATCACATGATTAAAGAATAACGTGCACACAATGCTCAAAGCCAGCTCATATCTGTAACCATTCAAGTAATACTTTTGTATTGGTCGCAATAAATGCATTTGGAAGAGAAGTCATCATTGGCTTCATGGTCGGTATAGCGTCAGGGAACCTGCATATACAAACAAGAGAATGTAACTATAAGAATGACGCATAATCTACAAGGGAAATTTGGTGTATGCAGATACAACTAGACTTAAGTAAAGATTCAAGTGTAGAAGATTTCTGATTTTCTGTAGTCTCTGTGGAAAGATCCCAAGAATCAAATCCATTTGCTAGTTTAAGTATGCACAAGCTAATTCAAGCTAATTCAATTCAATTCACTTCAGAACCGATAGACACAGAAGCTATATACACTCATGAGATATGACCATCGAGAGGAGTAAGATAACAAGTCCCTTGCCATGTGATAACGTTTGTAACAGCAAACACATTTCTTTGATGTAGCTTAGTGGTGAGGTAAGTGATAAGATTCCCAGCAATACCATAGTAAGCTAGCCTCTCACAACATTCATTACCAAGTATAAAAGGACAAGCTTTCCAGTTTCATGTTTTCTCCTTCAATGGTGGGTTTCCATTAAAGTCCACTGAACCATCTTCAACATACAATTTCGCTTCCTAGTTCAACAAAATTGCCAAAGACAACAATAAATTAGCTAACTAAATCAAGCAAAATTTGATCTTTATTTGCAAAACTCAAACATTGGAATCATCAACTAAATCAAAAACGATCAAGAACACTAAGATAAAACAGTAATTACCCAGAAAAGATCTCAATAAACCCAGAATAAAAATGCATAAGATCAATCTAAAGTCAAAAGTTTTGAAATTTCAGCAAAATCAAAATTCGCAAAACCTAATTGATTAACCGAATCCAAGAGATCGAAATTGAACAGACTTGTAATATTAAACCTTCTTCGATGAGAGGTCTTGCTTCTTCTTCAATGGAACCCATCGTTTTCGCTTTTGAGCTAAAACCAATTTAGATTCCTTACGTTGAAGCTACCTATCTATCGATACTCTATTAACATGCTATTTTAAACATGAAATCAGAAATCCTGATTTTTTTGTGATTTTAAAACAGAAATCAGAAATCCTAGATCACACAAAAGAAATGGAGAGGTGAAATGGAGAAGAAGAAGAATCGGTGGAGGAGAGAAGGGATCGGGGTTTGAGAGCAAATGATTTTTTTTTTCTCTGTAAAAAATACAATCATTGTCCAATAGAAAACTGACACGTCACATGAAACTGGGTATCACAAGTATCAGTGGACTGATACGGATCAGACCCAATTTTTGTGTTTGATCCATTATTAAATAGTTTTTGGGCTACTGATACCCAAAATAAATCACCCATGTACATGGTCTAAATAAATTAGTTATTAGAGATTTTCAGTTTTCCACTGCCTAGTTTTGTTTTGTTTGTTTGTTAAAAACTCAAATTATTTGTTTAAAGTATACTTCTCAGATCTCAGTGATTAATTATTAAACTTAGAAGAAACAAAAATCTCAAGTTTTTACATGTTAATGAGCCCCCTTTGTTAAATGAATAAAGTTTAAAGTTTATATTTCGAAAAATAATAGTATAGAGTTTAACAATAGTCAATATACAATTGTAATTAAAGTTTTTTTTTTGGGCTGCTTTCTCCTAATAAGTACTTTTCATAATTTCATTACCTTGGATAAGAATAACGAAATGTGGCCCCAAACTCTCCAGAAGATATTTGTCCTCAAATTTTTTTATTTTAATTTGTCTACCGAAGCTTAAACACCCTACGCCAGCATGCATAATAACGAATCATGATGGTCTTAAAGAGCATTCGATCTTTAATTTCTCTACAAATCAATATAATAAGTGTATGAACCCAGCAAAAGAGTAATAATAATCAACATAGAACATATCTTTCAAAAGAGAAAAAGAAAAACTTGAAAATACGTATATAGAAAACAGTCATCATCTTCTATATATGTTTTCATCTTATCTTATACTAGGTCCGGACCCGCACATACGTGCGGGGTTTTATATTTTGAAATATGCGGGTTTAATATGCGTTGTATAACATATAGTGAAAACGGGTATAACATATAGTGTTGTATAACGTACGTGCGTGGTTTTTTTGTTTGATTGGTTTAAAAGTTTGGAATGAAAAATTAGTAAGAAGGTTGAATATGTCTTGTATGACATATAGTGAAAACGGGTATAACATATAGTGTTGTATAACGTACGTGCGGGTTTTTTTTGTTTGATTGGTTTAAAAGTTTGGAAAGAAAAATTAGTAAGATTTTAGTAATTTTGATTGGTGAATGATTGGATATCTTTGTTTGGTTTTGTTGAATTATTTAGAAAGTTGCAAAATTGGTTGTAATATTTGTGAAACCAAATTATTATTTTGATTTATATTGTATATTTTTATTTCTTAAACTATAAAATTATTTGTTTGGTGATATAAAATTACTGTTTGTAATTTGATACAATTTTCATAAATATAAATGATTATTTAAAAGATTATGGCCCATGAATGATTGACCTTTTAATTTGGATTGGGCCGGAATTTTGATAGACCCATTAAGTAGTAGATAATGGCCCATGTATGATCCATGTTTTCGTTTTTTTTTTTTTTTTTTTTTTTAATTCAGAAGATGATCGAAACATTGTTTGTCTTATCCTATTCAAAGTAATGCAACCCCAAAACCCAGAAGATTTTTTCGATTTTTCAAACAATGTCAAAAGTTTAGATAATCAATCGAGTACGTCTCCGTATATCAAATTTCCATATAAGATTCGGTATTTCTTCAAAGAGGTAAGGTTTTTAGAGATTCTTCTTCAATCAATCTATTTTTATAATCTGTCGATTCATTTTACAATCTTTGTAATTCTATGTTTCAACAGAGATCTTGGACTATCACTGTGATTATACGAACTTGCATGAGTAAGTATTTTCAATTATATTTGTTGTTTAGATCCGAAATTGATTGTCTATAATTTTTGTGTTTAACCGGGTTACTCAATCTATTATCAAAATCTTCTATTCGTTGGAGTTAATATAAGCTATAATTTGATTTTGTATAGATTTAGACAGTAGATTTTGTTTCCTGAAAAGTGTTGATATTTAACTTGTTCCTAAATTGTTTTCAGATAATGATTTGATGATGATTTTGTCTAAGAAAGACGATTTACAAAGTTAAGTTTTCTATTACAGCTCTTACATAACAAAACAATGTCTTAATATATATGGTTCTGATTTTACCAAATACAATGTTTACAGAGAAGGCAAAAAAATATGTTTCGGTAAGTTTTTATTTAATATATTATTTTGTTGTTTTGATCATATATATGTGTCAGTGGTGATATATAAAATATATGATTTACGTACCGTTGTATTTTAGATGTATTTTACTGATTTGTGTAATTAAAATATATAATAAAAAGTATAGATATAGTAATAGTAGCATACTATAGAAGAATTGTTTTACACATATTGATTTTCTTTTTGATTAAACATATATTTTGTAAAACTGTAGTTATTAAAAGATGTAACAATTAGAATAATAGCTAATAGCCTAACAATTTTTAAAATTGGTTGGTTTGTTGGAAAACAATTAATATGAATAGTTACAATTTTTTATTTTTTTTGCAACATAACTACTATGTTATTTTTCACTGACATTTAAACGCAGAGTTTTAAAACGTGGGTCATAACCCCAAACCTAAAGTTTTGTAATGGGCTGTATAATAGAACGGTTGGTCCTAAAGTGATATTGCCCAACCTTTCTAGTATTTGTTATATTAATGATTATGTTTTTTTATTATCTGGACAAATAATTTTCTTTGGATCCATCGTTGTCTGAAAACGAAAAAAAAAATCAACCTTAAAAAAAAACTATTGTCGGTCGATCGACGATTCAGTAGTGAAATCGATACAGAATCCCCATAATTCGTCTTTGCTTATAGATTGTGATCGTCAAATTGTTAGTTCTACAAAGAGGTAAGCTTTTCTTGTGTGAGATCTATGTTTTTACTGTTTTTTAATCTGTGATTGAGTTTATAAATATGATTTTTATGTGATTCATTATAGATCGTATGTAAGGATTGTGAAGATCGCAGAGAAATTTGGGTAATTATTGAACTTTTCATATCTAATTCCATTGCAACTAATATTTTTTTTTGTTTCGTTTTGTTTGAACATGTTAGGTAGTGAATCAATCTGTTTCATCAAATTTATAGTGTAAAGAGACTAAATTTAATCAATTTGGAATCTATATTGTGTTTTTCGGTAAAGCTCTGAAACCTTTAAATAGATCTACTAATGGATTGTTTCTATAATTGTTTCAAATTTTTACAAACATTTTTATGGGTCCTTAGAAGAAGAGGGACCAAGAAGATAAGTATTTCTTTTTACGATCATTATAATACATCAGTACTTTTTGAAATATGTTACATGAATGATAGAAAGCTCAATATTACATTCATGATACAAATCTCAATGTCTGCAGGCCAAGTATTATTTTGCAAGTCTATTTCTTATGTAGGAGTCGGATTTCTAATTTCACTCGATTATTCGAGATATATAAATGTAACATTATTTATAACTTAGATAAGTATGTTCTTTATTCATTAGAATTCTTGTCATTGTAGACATTATCAAATAAATATATTAAAGGTTAGTACGATATGAGTTTAGGTTTACCTACTATTATTGAGTTTAAGTTAACTTAGTTCATATGAGCCTCTAAAAATCAATTATTTTAGTAACAAAATTCAATGTTTTTAAGATAAAACATCCGATTCTATTAACATAAGATTATGGAGAAGGGAAGTGTTATATATTCATTGGAGATACAGAAATATATGTTTGAAAGGTTAGTGCCTCTTTTATATTTACACTGTTGTTTACATTCATATTTGTCTTCGTATGTATATCATAGATTAAAACTACTTATATGTCTGAAAGTTGATTGATAATTTAGTTTACATAATAGAATATTACTTAATTAAACCAGAAACTGATATCTCCCAAAGTAATTATGTGTAAAAGTTAATGTTTGAGATTGTAGAGAAAGAAATTGAGTAGAATGACAATTGTTTCGAGAAATTGTTAAGAATTGTGGAAATATGCAATAAAGAGAAAATTCTTCTTGCCTCTCTTCAAGATGATTTGGTTGACTCTCTCTTCTTCTGAACATGGTCTGTCCCATGTTTTAACTGTAAAGAATATAACGGGTCAGGAATAATGTAACTCAATGTAACTAAATTAGATAAGAACCTTAAATCACATAGGCACCTCTTACATTAACTCTCTGCTAAGTCATTTTGTGGACGATAAGAGAAGATAGAAATGAAGTGAAGCTTTGTATGATTGTGTGTTCTAAAAGTTGATTATCGAGTAATCTATATATACTATTAACATATACAACTCTCATTTTAGGGTTTAGTTTTTTAAACATGAAAATATATTTGCGTATCCGAATTTAATAGAATCCTTAATCGAATATGCTTGATTTGATAGGATTAGAATCTAAAATGATTAAGTTTTGCATAATCATCGGAAGATATGAGATTAGTTTGGTAAGGTAGTGTCCGTGATTTATGTTATTCAAGATTTCAATTTATAACTTTTCTTGTTAAGGTAATCGAACTTATAGCATATATTCGCTGCTATGATTGTTCTCCAATTACACGTTTATAAATTAGTTTGTTTAGGTAATCAAATTTTATTTTTGGAATATAATATGGATTCAGTTAATGCAGGCTGTAGATATGAAGGCCATTTTCGATCATCTTCCAAGCCCTACTGACGCGGCCCAAGGACCCGCGTTTTTATAACTCTTTAAAAATTCAGGTGTGACCAAGGACCCGCGTGCTTTACCGTTTTAGCTTGGATAGAGACCCGAGAAGTATCCAAGATCCGCGTGTGTATTGATTGTAAGTATCCAAGGTTCATTCTAATCGGGTCAGCTATATTTTCGCAAAAGGATCCGAGTGTAGGATCCGAGATCCGCGTCCTAATAGAGGCAATTTTACAATTTTACCCCTCCACGGAATTTTTAAATTTGTCAATAAAAATATAAATTGTAATGGCATTCTCTTGTAATTTTGTACATATTGTAAGGTTATTTTTTATATAATCCTTCCCAATTAATAGTATAGATATATCAGTAATTCTTCAAAATATAAGTAATAAAACATTCTCCTTCTCACGTTCTTATATGATATCAATGATCTTGATTTGGTTATCTAATAATTTCACAACATAACATGTTATCAGCACAACTTTCTAACCCTTTGAATTTTCTTTTTTAAAACGTGGTATTATAAATCTTTGTAATTTACTATGCGCTCATAAAACTTTGAAATTATCATAATACTACGTTTTTGAAAAACTTATAAAGGATTAAACATACTGATAACATTGTTGTGAAACTATAAAATAAACCAATGCAAAATCATTAATATAAGATAAAATGTGAAAAGGAGAATGTTCTATTTTTTATATGTATATCTTTAAACAAAAGAATCATTTGTATATATAGAAAAAATATAAATCAAGTAAATTAAATGCAATTACAACAATTAAGTTACTTAAAAAAATTTAAAGTAAAATACAGTTATAGATGTTATCATATTACGTTTGGAAAATTAAAATAAAATAATTAGATGTTACACTTTTAAGTAAATGATTTCCTGCCAAGAAAGTGTTACCAATAAAAACGTTGGAGCTGGGCAAAACATCAAAGCCCAATTCTGATGTAGTTTAGTAGTTTCAACTTCCAAATACTTATGTGAAATCTAAGACCAACTCGAAACCCATTAAATCCCGGATAAGGGTTTCGTTATCTGTTAAAGTCTAAAATTTTATGAAATGAGTAAAGTATATCATCTCAACTAGGATTTCAACATTACCTACTTGAGAGACAATTGTGGAGAATGGTTACACTCACACATCTGGATTATAAAGAGCCATACTCCTTTCAGCATTATTGGGATCAATGACTTCTTCTGATTTGAAAAAGAGAGAAAAGTTGTTTCTCCAATCAAAAGAAGTCATTGATCCCAAATTCTCAATAATGCTAAAAGGGGATATGATTCTTTGAAGGGCAGCACGTAAGAGCCGACTTCTCCGGGGATGACTTCATTCCAACAGTAATGCACGTGATATTGACGTCAGTTAAGTAAGGCTCAAATCCTCAATGTTGGTCACGAACAAGGTGTTAACAACGTGTCTTCACTGACCGAAAAAACCTCTAATTCTTGGTTCTTTAGGCATACCATAACTCTAATAGCCATTAAGAACATTCGTATTTGTGTCGAATATCCGAATGTTTGCAATACTTAAAGACTCGTGTAGAGGTTAATAACTTCAGACGGAGGTGGGAGGTTGTCTACGAGGAGGACGTAGTTCAAACCAACGTTTGTTGATGCGTCTACAGAGCCACCATTATTGTAGTTGAACAGAAATGCCATACACGAGAGCATAAACAAAAATACTTTTTTTTGGATAATCTCTAATGAAACGTATTTATGCAAAACGAATATAGATATTTGTCTGAATAATGGACAGGCGAACCAAACCAAAATTGTTTCTCTTCTATTTGTTATGTGTTATGTTGTAAAACATAAGTTAACTTGTAGGTACATGCAATTTATATACATACAATAGTTTCACTTCCAAATAAATAAAAATTATTGATTCAATAGTTTGCTAAAATTAAATTCAGAAACTAACAATTATGAAATAAATCGATTTAAAGAGAAAAAAAAATAAACTCTAGTTAGAAACATCGACAATTGGGGCAGCTTTGATTCTGTTTCAGCCAAGAATCAATACAAAGACGATGAAAAACATGTCTACACATCTTTATACGGATAATATCATGGCCATCTTCAAACTCTTCAAGACAAATTGAACAACAAATCTGATCAAATCCTTCTTCTTCAATACCTTTAAACTCTATTTTCTCGATCTGCATCATATATCCGGTTTTGATGTCTTGTTGAGGATGTGGTGGCGTTAGATGTCCGGTTTCAATGTCTTGTTGAGTCATAGGCTGTGGATGATGGTTTTGGTGAGTCTCAAGACCTAGTTCCGTAGGAGGTTGATTATGCTCGTAAATATATCGTAAGATGCCAAGTACCATCATAATGATTAAGATAAAGGCATAAAACATAAACACCTGTGACTCAGACACCGTCGGAGACTCCATTGTCGATCGTAATATTACTTTTCTACCAGAGAGATCAAATTTGGACTTGAAGTTGAAGCAATTGCTTCATATCCATTATGATGAGAATTGAGAATCATAATACTTTTCACTTAAATTTCTATTCCATTTTAAAAACAATTTTTGTAAATTTATCAAACAATTTTTCCCATTTAGAGTTGAGTCTTTATTAATACGAGATATATATACACATATTTTAGATAAGTATGTTAGTTTACCATATATTGATACTTAATTTTTCATATGTTTGATGAAATAATTAATGTAAAGAAAAAAGAAAGAAGCTTTTTAATTATATGAAATCTCTGTAGATAAATAGAAAAAAATTTAGGATTTAGGATCATAATTTGGTGAAAATGAATTAATATCCCCTTGAATTTCTGACCCTCACAAATTAAGATGAACAACATTCAAAACTAGTAGCAGATCCATAAATGTGTATTTAACTCTCTTTTTTTCGAGCTTGTGAAAATTAAAGTTATATATATTCAGAATTATTTAGATAAAAAAAAAAATCTTCGAGCATATAAATTAAATCTGTTAATATCCCAAATTAGAGACTAAATAAAATAACAAACGGAATTGAATACTGTGAATATCATCTTTAAAATTTGATTACGAAATGTCCTAAAATAGATATATGGTGTTAACAACAAAAAAAAAGATATATGGTTTAGACGTTGAATATTGAACTCGCTAAATAAATAGTTCATGTATTTTTATCGGTGCGACAAAAAATTGAGTATTTTCAATTTTTCATAAAAAGAAAAAAAAATTTGGTGTATTTTTATAAAAAATTTCCTAAATGTTTTTGGGTGATTTGCAAAAGTGACGCTTTTGGCAGGTGGAATTAAATATATAGCACCACAAAGTTGGAAATGAAGTCCGTAGCATCTGAAGTACATGAAAAGACTAGAAACTCCTTCTCACTCGTCAGGATGGAAATGAGAAGCGCGTGAAGATGGCTGACAAAGTTGAGAAATAGGGTGACGTAAACGTCAAACAAAGTTGAGAAATGAGAAGCGCGTGGACTTCAAACAGAGGATAGAGTTGCCTTTATTACATAAAATATACACAATATCAGTTTCTTTTTTTTTTAAGCGTTAGTTTCTTAATTATTAATTTTTTATTGGCAAATTTCCCAATGTTTTTTTTTTCCTACCTAAATGTTTTTGTTATATGAAAAAAAAGAACTGCACAAGTTTTTTGTTTCAAAAAAAAAAAAAAAAAAAAAAGTTTTTTGTTTCTCCGACAGTCCGACCCGATTATACTTGGCAGCCTTGTTCAAAAACGCGGACTAGGCGGCCGATTAGTCGCCGGCGAGGCGCTCGGCGGTGGTGGACCGTTGCGATTTGTCCAAATCGGCTAACAAATCGGAGTTTCAGAAAAAAATTCATATTTTGTTTTGATTTAAGTTAGAAATCGATAGTTAACTAATAGATCTATCATAATTTGGTATAAACCTAAAAGAAAAACATGAAAACGATGGAATTGTGAAAAAAAAAACAAAAAAACGCAGAAACTAGGGTTTTGTTGTCGCAGGGAGAAAGGAAGGGGATGGGGGCAATTTTGTAAATTTGCGATTCTTAAAAAAAAAAAGAGATAAATATCAAAATTGAGCATCGAACCCTCGTTTCCAAGGTCAAAAGAAGGAGACAAACCACTGTACCACGTTATAATCATTGTACACTTACATTTTTTTAATATATATACATAAATCTAAATTAAAAGTATCTAAAGTTAATCCCTGAGTAATCCCGTTTAATCCCCGAGTAATCCCGCTAGGCGCTAGGCCCACCCCGGCCGCCCGACTAGCGCCTAGCGTTTATTAGAACAAGGCTTGGCAGTTGGCACATATCCGACCCGGAAGCCCAATTAGAGAGACCCAAATTTCACAAAATTAAAATTGTACATCGCTTCTTCCTCTTCTGCGTCGTCTTCTTCTTCCGCTTGAGTGGCTTCGGGTACGTTGTTAAACTCTCAAATTTCATCGTTCCTTTTTCTCTCACTAATTTTCTCATCTTTTGGTTTCTCTGTGATTTCTGATTATTATCTGTCTTCACTTTTAAACTCTTAGGAGATCGAATCGATGTTTTTTACTTGAAAGTTTCAATTTTCGTTTCCGATTGTCAAGTGTCTATTGAAATGTCTCTGAGAAATTTTTCATCTGAAAGCTGATATCGGTATACGGAATCCTTGGGACCGATCGATGATAACTGTGAGAGAAGAATTTGATATCTTAATAAAAGATTGTTGAATTGTTAAAATCTTAATTTTGAAGGATCCTTTTGTTTCCTTTGTAGTTGCTAAAATTTCTTGGGTTTATCTTCCTTCACTTTGCCTCGAATTGGGTTCCTGTTATAGCTCTAGAGTTTATTAAAAGAGTGTGGCTTTTCATGTATGAATGATGTGGGAGTGTTTGGTTTCATATTGTGGGAGGCCCTTTGTGGGTTGTTACTTAAGCTTTGTGGGGGCATTGTCATGCTTACAACGATTGACGTCTCTAATCATGACTGGTTCCAAAAAATCGATGCTTTGGATTGGTTTTGCAAGATGATATACAGTATCTGTAATCCATTTTGAATTGGTACATTAGGTTAAAGCTATAGCTGAATGGTGGCTTTATATTTTAGATTGTGTTTCTCTACGGTTTAACATGTTAATGTCCTTACTTCTTAGTTGGTATCAGAGATTGTATATCATGGTACCTGAATTTCATTCTGAGTTGTCAACTTTGCAGGTCAGATTTGAGAGGAAGTAAAAATGAGAAGACAGGGAAACTTTGCTGACTCACCTGCCAGTGCATATGGAACTGGACAGATACAGGACGCCCATTCTGATTTCCAAGGTCAATTAGAGGCATTCACGCCTGAGAGGGATCAGTCATATTCAGATTCACAAGCAGAGGGTCAATGGAGATGGGAAAG